AGAAATTGCAACTGATGGGTGACGAGTATCCTCGTTCTGCCGTGGAGATACTCGGTAATGCATTTGCAGTAGAGATGCCTGGCGACGCGAGTATCCACTGCGCTCAACGGATCGTCGAGCAAATAAAGATCCGCCTGCTTGTAAACTGCCCTCGCGAGATTGATTCGCGCTTTTTGGCCTCCAGACAGTAATATACCTCTATCACCGACCAGCGTTATGTCTCTTTGTGGAAACTGTCGGAAATCCTTTGTCAAGGCGCACACATTTGTCACCTCAAATGTTTATCAATAGATCAAAATGTGATATTTTTTATAAGATTAAAATATAAGTTAAGTGAGAAATGTTAAAGTTTAAAATTATATAAAAAATTTAATTTAATTTAATTTATTTTAATTTTATTGCATACGTCCAAGAGATTACAATATTAAAAGACTACAATAACAATATATATACAATGGCAATGGAAACGCACTGCAAAGAATACACAACAATCGTCTAATAATGATAAAGACATAGTTACGTATAGGTGGATCTGATAAGAAATACTAGATACCGCATCGCGAAAAGGACAGAGAAGAAGATGTTATGACGGATGAAGGAAAATGATAAAGCATTTTGCAGCAGTGTAGGAAAAGGCGGCACGGAATTTAGTGGAGTGTTGCAATGGAAAAGATAGAAATCATGGAAACGGGTATTAAGAATATTAAAGGAAATATTAGACGCATTCTTCTTTTGCATGTAAAAGGAATAATATATAAAGATTACACATTCAGAAAAGTTTATAATATTTGCTGAAAAACATATTTCTTTATTGACAATCACGATTAATAACGTGATTTATATATAATAATTGAAACAAAAGTCTGAAGTATCTGAGAATTTTGTCAAGTTACATTCAAGAAAGTAATCTTGAGAAATTGACATTGAGATGTGCAATACAATAATGCAATCAACACTGTACAATAGCAGTTGTTTTAAATTATATACTCACTTGCATGTATCTGGCCTTGTCGTAAGGCTCGCCAAACAATATGTTTTCTCTCACAGTACCGTTGAATATCCAAGGCTCTTGATTAGCGTAAGAAATGCGCAGATTCGGATTGTTCATGAAGAAACCATTAGACAAATTGTTTTGAAAGTTACACCTGGAAGAGCCCTGATTGAGAATCACAAAACCTCCGCCGAGATCCAGCTCCTTCAGCAGCAGATGTAGCACGGACGATTTGCCGGAGCCCACGGCGCCGACCATAGCGCACAACTGGCCTGGTTTAATAGTCAAATTGATGTCACACAAAGTTGGCGACAATTGGTCACTAACCCAATTGGCGCAAACACGCTGAAGTTCCA